TACATTATGCAATACTTTGCACTAAACCGTACCTTATATTATGTCACAGATTATACATGATGCCTTACTTTTGTGTGTTTCACCAGATTACAATGTACATTTTACCATATTTCTCATTATTTTATACATTTGCCTTACATATTCAAACATAGAAACATACACTGAATACATATTATACATGTTATGAATAATGCATTATTTAAAATGCATTAAAACCTTACATTTTATTATATTGCATCTTACATTATTTTAGCACATTATATGTTAAGTTTCACATTTGCACATTTTACTAATTTGCACAGTATTTACATTATTTGACACAGAATACATTATGCCATACTTTGCACTGTACAATACCTTATATTACGTCACACATTATACATGATGTCAGACAGCATAATAGAGACGCTTAATTGAGCAATTTTTAATAACGTCTCGCTGGTTTCTGAAAGGACTGGGACAAGATTTTACCACCGTTCTAACGGCCTATCGCGGTGCTGTCTACAAGAATAGCGGCTATTCACAGTCAGAGATAACTTTTGATCTCTTGATTGGTCGCCCTATGGGTGTGCCTTCATCGGCTGAGGAGTACATTCAAGATTTCGAGGCCTGGTTTGAACTGATGAACAGTTTTGTACGAGAGCGAGTCGACTTGGCGAAGGATAAGATGAAGACCCGATACGACCCGAGATCTACATGGCATCGATTCAACGAAGAAGACGAGATGAGGTTGTGGAATCCGATTCGATGGAAAGGAGTCCAGAACTACAGACACCTTGGGCTGGTCCTTACAACCTTAAAAAGGCTGAACGCGTCGTAGTTCACATACGTAAGTCATCAAATTCTAAGTCTAACGGCCCACCAGCGGCCGAGCGGTAAAATCGCTGAACACTGGTAGTTCGGTCCGAGGTTCGAATACCGCGAACGGGCTGGCTGCATGGGCGTTTTCGTGGTTTTCCCCATGTGTAACGTGTATACGAGCCAGTTTCCCTTAGAAAGTCCTCCACGAAAGGCATCCCTCCCCTTAGGCAGATAGCCCTAGTGTGCTTTGCCATAATTAAATACACCAATCTAAGCCTAACGTCTCTCCGCTCATTACAACAAGCTCACTCCTTAGTACGGCCATAGTATGCAGTGTATATAATGTAAACATTATATGATCATGGTCCTTTCCGTTTCTAACTTTGTAAATTTAATCACTCATTTATTGATTTGTATTTGATTTATTTTAAGTTACTTATTGCAATATTGTTTACGTTGTTCATTATTGTATTGTAATGTTTATTATGGCATTGATGCTTTAGTTGTAAGTGTGGCTTCCTGTTCAGGGATCGTACTGCCCGGAACGGGCAATCCTTGGGAAGGGGGTAGTGTCACGAATTTTGTATTTAGATAGCTAATTTTAATAGAATTACAATTAAAATTACTGAATTTCCCTGCGCAATGCAGCGCAAGACAAATTTTAAGAGAAAGCTATGTCGGAAAATTAAAATCACAGGAACACATGGGGTACGTTAATCTCGTTATTCTATATTTAAATTGAGTAAATTTAATTGAACACTATGTTATCTGTAACCGTAATTCCAAACATTTTTCTATCCAGAAATCTCGAGAAGCAGAAAGTATGTGAAATAGCTCGCTCAGCCCCTTGAAAGCTACAAAAGACCGGAGAGAGAGCGTTTTAGTTAGTTGCTTAGTTATTGTTGTTGCGATTTGCTTAATTCTCCGTGAATGAGATATCTGAATTAACTTTCACTTTAGATAACGGTTTGCATTGCGTTATATTTTAACATTTTTAGCAGTTTGAAGTGTAACTACTGATTATACTGCGTCATATTGTGAACACTTATACGAATATCTCTGAGGAAAATTCAAGCGTTCTGATATATTTCTTTTGATAAGAATACATTTTATTAACCTATTATCGGACTTGTATATTCATTTTATTACCAACTTGTACGCTCGCAAAAATATGTTCATTAGTAGAATAGTGTAATAGGTAAGACAGCAATTTCATCCAAATAGCAATCTAAAAAATTCTTGCCGAAGTAATCTTTTGATGAAATTATTTCTCAAATTTCTGAAGAATTCCTTAAATTTCGCGAATACAAATTTTTCTTCATGTTTACCAAGTAAATTCACAAATTTTAAAAATGTGTCTTATTATTTGTTAAAATTTTCGTCATGCATTCTGCTTTATGTTTCATATTTAAATATATTTAAAACTCATTTTAATTTAAATCATGGATATAATGTATTTCAGTTTTTTATACCTCATTGCCTGAATCTTAACTCTGGTTAACATTTACTTTAATCTTGAATCACAGAAATGAGGCTGAACTGTTATGTAAGCTCTTTAATCTGATAGGTATGTAGAGATTTCCATCACTCCATATTGTGAGAGCCGTTAGTTTCTCGAAGGAGAAAAATTACTAGAAGTCTAGGTAGAAAAATTACTCAGATTGCCTGCGAATAAAGTGTTATAGATGGGGAATCTGTCCATTTGTTAACGAAGAAAATCTAAACATTTTTTCTTGAAAATTAAAGGCGTAACCCTTGTGATGCAGATAAACATTTAATAGAAGTATATCGTGAATGCTTTTAAGTCCTTGAGGTTTTTAAATATCGAAAAAAACATTCATTTATTTCCAGCAGCAAACTTGGGTTCAAAAAGCAGTGGAAACGAATTCTGAATTTTGAACGAACATAAAACAGTTTCAGTCTTAGAAAATTTGTAAGAATTATTCATAACTTGCGTAAACGCCTACGTTTTCAGGTGTGCTATCCATCTTTTCTCATGCACTGATTTTCCTCAGATCAGAAACTTATGCAAATTTAAACACAGTGCGGTAGGGCTCAAAGGCTGGAATTCAGCTCGGCTTAGTGGAGTGTTCGCCACTGCCTCAATAAAAGATAGGTAGTTCCTGCAAAATCCAGCTGTGGGTAAAAAATTAGATAAAGCCTGTGCTAATGGCAAGCTGCGTAAGAGTTTAACCTATCAGATACTTAACGTTCAATTAAGCTTTGTGTTCATCAATATTTGAAATGTAACTGGAAGAGAAAACAGCTTCATCTTTGTCATACTATTTTTATTACAAAAGGTCATCGATTAAGATTTATGTTGTATTTTCATATATGAACAAGAACGATTTAATCAGCTTTTATTTGGATTTGCACCAAACTTGCTTTTTGATTACAATTAAATAGTGGTTAAGTTACTAATTCTTCAACTGGTTAAGATAATTTTGAATGTTAATCGTTAGGCTGAGTGTTCAATGAGAGTTTAGCTTTGCAATAGGGTTTATACAAATTAACCGCACCTATTTTTCAAATTAGGTTCTCGTGAGGTTCCAACTCAAGCGAACATAGTTTGCAAACTGGACTACCTCTATCCCACGTTAACAAAAACAATATGATTTCCAAGCTATTGATAACACACAGTAAAGTCCCTGGTCTATTTAGACTAGAACTACGTTAAGTTTTGTTTAATTTAGTTTAAGACAGCGAAGCACAATAGAGCTGTCTACCTAAGGGAAGGCACAGCTTCGTGGAGCACTTTCTGAGCGAAATGGGATCGCATACACGTTATCCATGGTGAAAATCACGAAACCGACCTAGCAGCCACACCATTCGTTTAAGTTCGAATCCAGGTCGCAAAAAGAAACAGGTACCCTAGAAGCTAGTTGTCTGAATCTAGAGGTACTGAAGCAAACTTTTGAGGCCGACGAATACATTTTTCATTTCGTTAATTAGCATTATTATGGCATTAATTTTTATGACAAGAATTTGCAGATATTTCAAGATGTTAATCATTTTGAGCCCAGTTTCACACTATTTTTATTTCCTTTAAATTAATTGCTCCTCAAAATCTAAAAATTGTGATATAAATCTTATTCAAAGATTTGTAGATACAGATTTAAAAATATTATGACTTGGCGTTTCAATAGTTTTAAAATATTATATTTTCATAATTCTATTTTAATTTTACAACGGTTTGTGTAATGCTGATTGAAGTTTGCAAGGACTTCCGTCATTAAATCAGTGTGCACATAGACTTGTTGTTTAACCCGTGAGCACACGCGCAGGGTATTTTTGACCCGACGCTTCCTATTGTCGGCAAATATTTTAGGAATTTCTCAACACTTGCACCTGCCACTTCCGGTACCTTACTGGGTGATCTAGTAAAGAGGGTTTCTGGAAAAAAAAAACTTGGAAGACGAGATTGTTCTGTATGTGCTAGTGGGTCGGGGTCATTTTTACCCGCCGCGTGTACTAACGTTTTGGAATTAGTTAACATTATGAATCTGTCTGATTACGAAAGGGAGTAGCAGAGATTGCGCGATCTTCTCGCAAATGTTTCGACCGACAGCGAGATTGAAGGAAGCTCAGATTCGGTTGAAGCCAGTGGACTTTCTGAAAGTGAACACGATACAGAAAGTGGATTTAGAGGACTCAGATTTAAGCGATGAAGACAATAACAAGGAATATTATCTCGGTAAAGATAAAACTTAAATGGATGGCAAGACCCCCTCCGACAAATGTGCGAAGAACAGCGTGTAATATTGTGTCACATTTACCGGGTGTAAAGACAAATTACAGATCCTTTACAAGTATTTTAGAATCTTTTTTAGTAATTTAGGATGATGACATTATGAATATTGTTGTACAATGTACAAATATTTATACTGAGTCAATTAAAAACAAATATTAAACGTGAAAGAGATGCATTACCAACCAGCAAAGCAGAAATAAAGGCTCTTTTTGGTCTACTTTTATTATGCTGGCGTTATGAGAGCTGCACACTTGAATGCGAAAGATCTTTGGTCTACAGATGGAACAGGAATGCAAATTGTTTCAGCTGCAATGTCAATTAACCGTTTCCATTTTCTCCTTAGGTGTCTTCGATTCGATGACATACATAGTCGTCAAGAGAGAAAAGAATTTGATAGACTAGCCCCAATAAGGAATGTGTTTGAAAGAATTGTAATAATCTTCAAAAAATGTACTGCATTTCTGAGTACTGTACAATTGATGAGAGACTAGAGCCGTTCCGTGGAAGATGCCAGTTTCGTCAATACATCAAGAGCAAACCAGCGAAATATGGCATAAATATTTTTGCATTATGTGATGCCCGCACTTTGTATACACATAATCTTGAAGTTTATGTTGGTCAACAGCCTGATGGACCTTTCAGAGTAAGTAATAAACCAAGTGATATTGTAAAGAGACTTGTTGCTCCAATTTCTCAAACTGGTCGTAGTATAACTATGGATAATTGGTTCATGAATTTACCTTTAGAATTGTTGGAGGAAAACAAGCTTACAACTGTTGGTACAATTAGAAAGAATAAGAAAGAAATTCCTAAGGAATTTTTACCACATTAGTCAAGAGTTGTACATTCCTCACTTTTTGGATTTTATGAGAAGAAAATTGCCTTAACGTCACACGTTCCTAAGAAAGGTAAATCTGTTCTAGTGTTATCTTCATTTATTTTTGATGATAGAATCGATTCGACAACGGGTGATTTATGTAAACTTGAAATGATTACCTTTTATAACTTGACCAAAGGAGGTGTGGATACAGTGGATGAAATGTGTGGAACGTATTCAGTTTCAAGAAAGAGTTGTCGCTGGCCTTTAACAATTTTCTTTGGCCTACTAAATATCACAGGCATAAATTCATATACTATTTATAAATTCAACAGCGCCAATAATTTATCACGACGAAATTACTTGAAGGAACTTGCTGTTGACTTAGTAAAAGAACATCTTCTTGAGAGATCAAAGAACGCAAGTATACCTTCAAACTATCAGAACTAACTCCAAAAGGCTCCTAAATTTACCAGATGACAAAGAAATCCTCAGTCATGTGAAAATGAATGATCGAAATAAAATGCCTTGTGTAAGACCCATTCACTCATCATATGTTCTAATCGCTTAGCAAAAAATGGTGATAAAAATTATTTTGATGAATAAATAAAAATAATTAGCGCATAACGAAGAAAAATAAATAAATATGCGAGCTATATTTTAAATCTCAGTAGTGAATTTTTAAGCCTTCCTTACTCAAAATTTTCAAATGTAAACATGATTCAAAATATTCATTTTATTGTCATTTAAGCACAGTTATGCAAGAAAAAAAAAAAGGTTAATTTTATTTGTCAAATGTTTAAACGTTTCAAAATGGTTAGAAACGAATGAATGCCGAAATAAGGATACAAAATCGAAAGTAAGATTTTTTTCTTTTTACTGCTTTGAAAATTGACTTTTGAAACAAATAATATCTCCTGTTACTTAGAAAGTATTCAAAAAACACGTTTAGATCGAAATTTTGCTTTGAAATGCCCAGATGTTACTGAGAAGTTAGCGTAAAATTTAGGGTCAAATTGACCCGGTGCGTGCGGTAATGTCGTAGAAAAGGTTGCGTGTGCTGAAGGGTTAATTACGGTGACAAGTTCGGCCAAGTCGGCGAAAACTTTCTTAGCCTCATTAAGCGTGTCCGAGTAAACGCCTGGAAAGCTACCTGCAGAGCCAGCTTCTTACCGTCCTATCAGCCTCTTGTCCTCGCTCAGCAAGATAGTTGAGTACATCATCCTCCAAAAAACCCTCGCTCATAATGAGCTCAATAATATCATCATTCCACAGTAGCATGGGTTCCGTAAGAAACATTCTACAGTGCACCAGCTTTACAGAGTCATCGAATTCATCTCGCAAGGTCTTCAGGAACGACAAACCACAGGTGCCATCTTCCTCGACGTAGCTAAAGCCTTTGATCGTGTTTGGCTGGAGGGCCTTATGTACAAAATGGTCCTGGGTTTCCCAGAGTACATCACAGCCATCACTTACTCCTATCTTAAAGATAGACACTTTATGTACACTGATAGCCCGTGGGGTAGAGTATGTGTAAACAACACATACTCTACCCCACGGGCTATCAGGGCCGGCGTCCCGCAAGGAAGCCTCCTTGAGCTCATCTACTATAATATCTACACGAACGATATCCCACAATCACCACACACCACTCTGGCAGTGTGCGCCGATGACACTTCAATTCTTTCAAAAAATGCATCTCCTGGCCCAGTTATACAAGCATTCCAATCACACATCCACACACTTGAGTCCTGGCTCAATGCCTGGAAATTCAAAATCAATATAGAGAAGTCCGAGGCCATCTGGTTTATAAAAAGGACCAGCATCGATACAGAAGACTGCATACTTATAAACGATATCCCTATCCAGTGGACTAAGCAAGCCGGATACCTTGGTATTACTTTAGATAGGCGACTCACCTGGACCCCACACATTACACAGCTTATTGCCAAGTTCCGTGACCGTAAACGAACACTTACCCCCTTAATTGGCCGGAACTCCGTTCTCTCTATAAATAACAAGTTGCTCATTTACAAAACCCTTTTGCATCCCATACTCTCTTACGCCTGCCCTGTTTGGGGATATGCTAGCTTTACAAATGTAAAGAAAATCCAAGTGTTACAAAATGTTACACTCAGACAAGTGACGAACTGCCGCCTGTTTATTAGGAACACGGCAGTTCACCAGGAGTTAGAAATTCCTACCATTTACACCTACTTTGCACTGCTTGCAGAAAAGTTCTTTAAAAATATTCCTAATGTAAACAATAGTACCATTCCAGTTCTATATTATGATTTTAACAATGTAACACATAGCAAACGACCGTTTGCGGTCCTCAGATATCTTCCATAGTGAATTTCCCTAAAGTTAAATACTTTTGTACACTCTCCTTTACTTATCTGTGTTTGTTTTGGTGTTGTTTTCCTGTAAATATTGTATATACTTTATTGTATATATTTTATATTATTTCCCACTTTGTATATTTAATGTTCGTTATGTAAACTACTGGTCACACATATGGACTCTTAAGACTCAGTGAGATTAAGCATTTTTTTTTCACTATTCTACATGCCATTGCTTAGCCATGCGTACTACCTTCGTCAAGGCCTGCATTTACAGGGGTACTTTCCGTCGGACTCTTACATTGCACTCCCCCAGCTTTCCATGGTTCTGAACTTCCTACTTGAATTTGATCATCAAGTATTCGCAACTATACAAAATCGAAAATCAGAAGAATTATGCCGAGGTAGCGTCATAACGCGGGGACCAGTATTGCGATAAACTTATTGAGTTTGCCTGAGCCGAGTAAACGCCGGCGGAAAGCGCCTGTGCGTAGCTCTTATTTTCAATAACTGTATTGGCAAACGATTTAGGTTGGTGGGTGTAGTGGTGTATTTAATTATGGCAAAGCACACTAGGGCTATCTGCCTAAGGGGAGGGATGCCTTCGTAGAGGACTTTATAAGGGAAACTGGCTCGTATACACGCTACACATGGGGAAAACTACGAAAACACCCATGCAGCCAGCTCGTTCGCGGGATTCGAACCTCGGATCGAACTACCAGTGTTCAGTGACTTTATCGCTCAGCCGCTGGTGGGCCAATTTAGGTTGGTCAGCCTTTCTTTTAGGAAACTTCTCCCACCCCCTAAAACTGGAAGTGTGAGATTCGCCGCAGTTGGCACAGCAAGGCGTCTTCTGTTTATTATTTTTATCTGGGCAGTTCTTGAACTAATGTTCCTGTCCGCATTTTACACATTTTGGGGTATAATTACATCCGTCTTGCGTATGGAAAACTGCAGGGGTCCCTGTCTGCCTTTGTATTCCTTGAAATTAATTTTCATGTTTCCTAAATATCTCTCATAAGAAATCTTTTTTGAAGCTTCCGTGTTTGGGAGGGTCATCAGAAATAGCGATAATTTGGTAATTTCGTGGTTACGACGACGTGTCATCTGTTTGGTATCTTCAGTTTTATAGCCTAATCTTCCTAGCTCCTCTTTAATTTCGTCGATAGTAGTATCATAAGTCAATTCCCGTGACGGCTTTTAAACTCCGGTCTTGGGGGAGAACGGAAGAATGATGTCCTTCATTCTTTAATAATTTAATTATGCATCTGTAACTTTCAGCGTTTTCGGCATGAACTTTAACATTGCCCTGAACCTGTTCACCAATAAAACCTAATTTCCTTTCCCGAATGAATTTTTTTATGTCACTCCATTTATATTTAGTAAATTTTATCGTAATGGGTGGGATTCTGGTAGTTTGACCACTTTCGTTTTGTGGTTTTACATTTGTAGTAATGGTATCATCAGTATTGTTTCCTATTAACAATACTGATTATTATTATCTATATTAGGGTTATAGATGTGTGTTTTGTCAATTTGTTCCTTTACAGTGCTAATGTTAGCATCTGACGTAGCACTATTTTCATTCAAGTTTTTCTGCGATGAGATAATTTGTGTCTGCGTATTTAATTTGATCTTTTTGACAGTGTTTCTATAAATTTTTGTACGGACCGTTTGATTGCCTCTTTTTCTTTGTAAGTCACCATCAGAACTGATGTCTTTATGTAAAGTGATTTCTTCGTCTGCACTATTTTGGGAATCGATGTGTAAATTTATAGGACCGCGTGCGCGGCCATTGCCATAAAATGAGTTACTAGTTCCTTCTGTGGAATTGTCATGTTTGCGTTTAAGATCATCAGGATTTTTTGAATTCGTATTCGCCAGCGTGTTCATGTATTCAATCATGTCGAGCATGCTAAGTAAGAAATTGTGTATTTTCCCTTCAGTGTCGGTAAAAGCGCCATTGACATTCCTAACATGTTTTAAATCCTTAATTTGCTGCCTAACGGTGTCCACTAACTTCTCCATTTTCGCAAGTCCAAGTCCAAATCCAAGCAGCCAATTTAAATACGGAGTTCTGCGCCCCGGATTCAGGCCCACACGACGGTGTCCTGGCAGACGGATGGGCAGGTGGATGTACGCAAAGCCCCTGACTTTGCAAGCAAGAGAAAACGCGATAAATAAAATAGAATTAATTAAGTCTCCAATAATACTAAGACAAGCAATATATAGCAATTAGCAATACATATAACAATTATAAACTAAGCTGCCAAGCATATCAATCGATGCGTCGAAACACGTGGTCGTACTCAGTGAGCCGTGAAATCGGGCGAACACAGAAACCGGTCTGGTAGCAGGTGCAATCTCTACTCGCTCCGATTCTTCTCTCCGAATGATTAGCTAGAAACTCAAAGACAGAGCTAAAATGTTCAATGTTTGAAGGAGCGCTGAGGGTGAGGTAAGGGACGTGACTATTGGCACGTGGGTGTTTTAAGTTTCAACTCATTGATCTGGAGGAATCTTAATTTGCTGTACTGTGTCTCGTGAGTGGATGTCTCCTTATTTGTGGTGAGGACATTATACAGCATTTATTACAAACAGTAATATAATATGAGAATTAAGACGGATAAGATAAATTATATGCATTATTTACACTATATACAAGTCTCGATA